TATTATAAATTAATTGATTTAAAACATGGTTTTTTTTCGCTACACAGTTCTAACCATGTTTCAAAAATGGAAGCTAAAAGCCCCGAATTTAAATAGTAGTATTTAATTAAAATGAATTCTAACCTAAACTTCTTTTAAATTGTAATTAAATAAATAAAGTTTACTAAATCAGAGAAATGAATTGGCTATTTTTGCCGTAAGTGAAAAAAAATTTTACTTAAATAATATTTAAATATAAAATTTTTAAAAATCGTAATATAAATATACTTGATATAGAAAAATAATTTTACTTACTGTAAGTAATTCTAATACATTTACTTCTATTAAATGAAATATAGTCTTATAATGAAAATATTTTAAAGTTGTAATTAAAATTGTAGTTAATTAAAATGAATTCTAACCTAAACTTCTTTTAAATTGTAATTAAATAAATAAATAAAGTTTACTAAATCAGAGAAATGAAAATTTTACTTAAATAATATTTAAATATAAAATTTTTAAAAATCGTAATATACTTGATGTGATAATAATTCTACAAACTGTAAGGGATTCTAATTACATTTAATTGTTCTTGAAAGAAATATAGTATATTAAAAATTAAAAGTAAAAATATTTCAAATCGTAGTTAAATAAAAAGTATTCTTACCTAAACCCCCCCAAAAAATCTTTAAATATTCGAAGAAAAAAATGCCGTAAGAATTTTAGCCTTTAACAATAAAATTTTTAAAAACTCCAGACGATACGCTTTTAACGGATGTTAGATTTCATTGAAAAATACATCCCTACCCACTACCAAAACGTAGCAATAACTGATACATTAAAATATACACATATTGAACATCCAGACACCCCTAGTCTAGCAAAATAGATTTATCTGTAACCTTTGAAACATGAATTTTGTTTTAGCTGTGTATTTAAAACCCAGTAATTTTAAAAGTTACTCCAATTAGCTTGAGGATGAAATAGAACTAATGTCTTTAATTTAATTACAAAATTAAATTCGGGGCATTTAGCTTCCATTTTTGAAACATTGTTAGAGCTGTGTAGCGAAAAAAAACATATTTTAAATCAATTAATTTATAACATATATATATATATATATATATATATATATATATATATATATATATATATTGCTTTAATTAAAACAAATATTGCACAAGGCCAAAGGAGAAATAGTGCAAGGTTGGTCGACACTTTCTATCTAATCTGATTCACGACCCATTCATTGATTACAATTTGTTCATTCACCACAAATATTAAATCTCACCATTCAATAGTACATATACCACAATACCATTAATTCACAAGAAACCTAAAAACTCCATGACATAAAGTTTTAATATATACAAATAGTTCAAATCTCTATTTTCATTTATTTAAATGTATGAAAATATATGTTCATGAAATGAGAAGGGGGATGAATCCTGAAAACCAAACTAAAGTTTAATAAAACATTCAAACTAAACATAACAGATGCTAGTAGGCTCCAACCACCCCCAAAAAATAATAAGAGTGTCGCTCTATTCTGACTTTAGACAGAATCAAGAGGCACATTCACTAACGGAGAAAAAAAAATAAAGCAAATAAAAGGAGTGGAGAAAAACAAAGGCTGACCCAGTCGAAATGAAAAAGGAGACAAAAAATAAACTGGAGAGATTGGAAATCTCAACATGGATCATAATAAAAGATAGATCCGAGAACAGGCCAGTAACAACATTTACTCACATCAACTAGATAAACAAAGAGTGTCTAACTTAACCAGCGGAGGGTTCACAGAAAACCGACCCGTTGCGTGAAAAGGGACTTAAAAAAGAAAATCAAGTTTGGCCCTATTCACTCGCAGCAAACTTGATACTTTTACCCACCACCATCACTGAAATTTGTCGATAACTAACGCTTTCTATCAGTTCTGATCTTCATCTTGTGCCGAAAGAATCCACCCAGAACCTGATGAGAATAGAGTTCGTATTGCAAGATTCCCGCCATTCGCGACGTTTATATTACCATTCTTGCCACGGCATTCGTTTCACCCCAGAGAACGGGGCGGCACATTATCGCATGCCTATGTGAGATCGATGGACACAAGATGTTAGGGATCAATGCGCGCCGACAACTCGCCGACATAGTCCCAGAACGGGCGCACCTGAGGACAATGGTAGAAGGCGTGCGAATCTGTTTCCTCTAGACCAAGGTCACACCGATGACAATCGGGCAAATCCGCTCAGACCTCTCTGAAGACTTCGTTATGGAGAGATAGTCCGTGAAAATTCAGAGCTGCTGAGATAATCCGCCGCTGGTGTCAAAGACCATAAAGAGCGCAAAACGATCGTCGACAAGCCGAGCCACACACAGAGAGGATCCTTCGGGACCCCAGATACAATTGTCTCTTACTTCCGTGAAAGGTCAGTGGACCGAGAAATGGCCTGAAAACTCGACTGATTCCGAGGCCTACAGTGGTGCTCAGCCCTTGAAACGAGAGGAGTGATGGTAAGGCTAGGGATCGAGTCTACTGTCGACACGCGACATAAGAATGCCAACCTCGAGGCGTGTCGATGACTCGCCAAGTGTGACAATCCCAGTCCCTCCCACGACACAGACGCTGGAAACAGAAGAGTGTTATGAGCAAGCTCTCGATAGCCTTCTTCCGGTCTCTACAAAGAAGGAGTACAGCCAACCGGTAAAGAATGAGAGGAAGGATGTACGTTGCGCACGCCTCAGCCCTTACCCTTCGGAGCCAAGCCTGAACCGCCGTTCTAAACTTTACCTGTAACTCCGACCAGTTCTTCCCCTGCTAGAGCCCGGGCCTGAACCACACTCCAAGAATGCGGACGGGTCCGTCTGTCCAACTGAAGGGCTCCGAAAGCGCGGCCCACTACCAGGCGCCTAACCGCAAGCCAGAAGACTTGTTGCGGTTAATTTTAGCCCCTGTCATGCTCTCGTACCATTCAGGCGCTTTCTGTACCATCTCAATGTCGCTGCGGCACGACACGAAAATTGATACGTCCCTGAGGTACGCGGAAACACTGGTCCGAGTCCCACCAGGGACAGCGATTCCACATAGAGCCGCACTACACACCCTGTTTCTCAGCCGGAGAAGAAGTGGCTCCAACGCCAAAAAAATAAAGTAGGGGCGATAGCGGGCAACTCTGACGAACCAACCGTGACAGCGCAAAGCGCGCGACCGCTTCCCGTTCACTTGCACCACAGCACTAAGGGAACGATACAGGAGGCTGATCCACTTGCAGAAGTTTGAATCCGGCGGTCTGCAAGACAGCAGACAGGTACAGATGGTCGACCCGATCGAACGCCTTGCAATGATCCAAATTGATCAGTGTGGCTTCATCGTCGACTTCTAAACTCTCTATGATCGTGTGGAACAGATGCAGGTTGTTCTGAATTGTTCGTCCCTTCACAGCACAATCTACTCGGGTCCTAACAGAACCTCGGCAACTTACTGCAAACGCTCCGTCAGGATCTTGGCCAAAATCTCCGTGTTTAGCAAAAAGACAAAACGAGTAAAGAGGAAATGAAAATTTATATTATCTAACACGTTTTGTCCTCTGAAGGACTTTAATAGACAATGAATTTTATCACCTCATGTCCCCCATAAACTTGCCTGACTTTTCCATTGGCCTAATGAATATTCATGAACACTCCTATACTTAAATTTTTGTAAAACCAATGACATTTTTGCTCTTGTATATAAATATTTGTCACAAAGTAAAATTCTCACATTTGCTTGGATAAAGTCCCTCAGAGGACGAAGTGCATTTAAAATTTAACTTTAAAGTTTAAACTTAAAATTTTAAACTTTAAAGTTAAATTTTAAGATTTAATCTTTGGTTTCGAAAAATAGTAATTTCTGTGTTGCGATGGAAATATATATTTTTTTTTTTTTAAATAATTATAATATTATGCTCTACTTTGTATCGAGCACTGTTTTTTAAAAATTAAAATAATTGCTAAAGAACTCTGAATT